AGCAAGAAAAAACAGGACAGAGCGGGACAGAAGAGGGCAGGACTGGACAGACCAGGACGAGGCAGGGCAGGGCAGAACAGAACAAGGCAGGGCAAGGCAGCACAGAAACTCTAAGCGCCCGCACTCTAAGCCTGGCTGCATCGGAGCCCCACACCTTCCAAGCTCCGAAACGACCCACAACAAAACCAAGCCTTGCGCATTCGGACCTCGCAGCCTCGGAAAACCCAAACCACCTGGGAATCCCCGAAGCCTAGCAAAGAAGTGCCTGGCAAACAACGCGAAGAGGTCCGGACCTGAGCGCGGGAGGGGTAGGCACAAGGAGAGAAAGCGGGAAGGGGGAGGAGGCAGGGAAGGGTGGAAGAGCTAAGAGTTTGGAGGCCTAGCGTTTCAAGGCTCAAGGTTTACATAAGGTTAATGCTTTAGGCTTTCAGGACGTGGAGTGTGCAGGTTCGAGGGTCGGAAGCCCTTATGTACATACGAAGCCCAGCAAACCGGAAATCCCAAGCCACAACCCCGAACCAACAAACAACAAAAACCCACAACGGCGCAACCAAGTTCCCGGCGAGCGAAGAGGCCACGACCTGAGAAGGCAAGCGAAGTCAGGGAAAGGTGCACAAGCCATGCAGTCGACAATGGCATGCAAAAAGAGGCACTGCAGCTGCGCAAAGGTGCAATCTATTTTACCCGCGAATGCAAAGGAAGGGTGAAAAAAAAAATATGCCGACCCCAGCCCCCGAGCCACCGATGCTGGTGTTAGGCGCTCGGCAACAAGAGATTAAAAAAAGCAAAAAGGGCAAGGATTGAATTCATTAATTACAGCTCCAAAAAAAGGCCACGCATTAACGGGGCGCATCCCGCAGGGCTTTGCATCTATAGCACCTAAACTAAGAGCTGCCGTAGCAGATTAAGTAGAAAACAATTACAACCAACAACAAAACCAAGTGCGATGCAAAGCCCACGGCCCGTGAAACGGGGACGAACCGAACTAACCAAACCCCAACTAAATCAATCAAATCCAATAACTAAACCCAATAACCAAACCAAGTTACCGTCCCCAGTATGTACAAGGGGCGCTCTGGTCGGGGGGTTGTCCTCGGCATCTGGAGGCGAGCCTCGCTCCGGACAAACCCCCGACCTTACTACCCCCGGGTCCCCGATTGAAACAAACTAAATTAGCGGCGACTTGCGCGTCTAAAACCCCATAGACTCCCAACAAAACAACAACAGAGAACCAAAGTATCCAACACAAAACCCGAATCGGGGACCCCAAGAAAAAGATGTTATTAAAAAAAAGCATGCACATGCAATAAGGGAAAATGGCAAACGGCCAAGGCCCCGCAAAAAAAAAAAGATATCAGTATGTTAGATAGGATGCAACAAGGCGGACAGATGGATAATACCCTAAGGTTAGACAAAACTACATAGGTAGTTACATACATACACAAACACACAATATACCGGCCTACTTACGAGGCGGATTCTGGTAAAACTGGGCCTTGGCCTTGGCCTCGGCCTTAGATTTGGCGTTCGCCTTAGGCGCAGCACGCCGAATCTGTTGAAAAAGATGATTGCGAGGCAACGGTGCGTCACAACGACTGCTCCGCATGGGGTAGCCTGGCGGCAGACAGGAAGAGAACAACCGAGATTCCCCCAAACGCCCGAAATCCTATAGACCCCAAAACCTTACATCCCCGAGCCCTAAACCCTTAAACGGCAGACAACAAAGTACTAAACCTAAAACAACCCTAAGCCCCGCAAGCCCAAGCGCTGAAACCCTGAACCCTAAAACCCGAGACCCCGACCCTAAGCCCTCGCACCCAAAGCCCTCGCACCAAAACCACTAGACCCAAAGACCCCAAACACAAAAAACTAAAGCCCTGAACCCTAAAACCCCTAAACCCAGAAATCCTACGAACCCGAAACATGTAAAACCTTAAACCCCGCGAACCACAATCCCTTAACACACAGAACACCCAAAGGCCTCGAGCCCGGTTGGCTAAGCAACGCGCCCTAAACCCTAAACCATAAACCCTACTAAACCCTAAACCCTGCTAAGCCCTAAACCCTAAACCCTAAACCCTAAACCCTACTAAACCCTAAACCCTACTAAACCCTAAACCCTAAACCCTAAACCCCACTAAACCATAAACCCTACTAAACCCTAAACCCTGCTAAGCCCTAAACCCTAAACCCTAAACCCTAAACCCTACTAAACCCTAAACCCTACTAAACTAGGGGTGGCAGGCCGGTGGGCCCTGTCGGCCCACCGCTGCCGAATCCCCCCCAGCAAGCGGCTTCCATAGCATCGCACATACAATACGCCTGAACAGCGCTTCAACTGTCTTACCAGAGGGTCAGCCGTGCCACCGCTAAGCAGTGGGTCGCCGTCAGTACTGACCTAATAATATAATTAAACCCCAAACCCTGCGCAGAATGACCCCCAAACCATAAACAAGTCGGTGCTAAACCATAAACGTTTAGGGTTTAGGGCACATTTTGGCCGGATTTTGGCAATCCCCGTTTAGGGTTTAGCCGGATTCGGGCCTAAACCATAAACGTTTAGGGTTTAGCGTTTAGGGTTTAGCGTTTAGGGTTTGGCGTTTAGGGTTTAGAGCCAAATTTCCCGGATTTTGGGGTGGGCGTTTTGGGTGACAAATTCTGTTCATAAAATAGCACTTTTAATGAGGCCGGGGGCCGATCTTGGGGTCCCCCCCACTCTGGGCCTAAACTACAAACGGAACTGGGGCCTAAACTACAAACGTTTAGGGTTTAGCCGCAGACTCGGGCCTAAACTACAAACGTTTAGGGTTTAGCCGCGGACTCGTGCCTAAACCATAGACGTTTAAGATTTAGCGTTTAGGGTTTAGCGTTTAGGGTTTTGCGTTTAGGGTTTAGAGCTAAATTTCCTGGATTTTGGAGTGGGCGTTTTGGATGACAAATTCTGTTCATAAAATGGCGATTTTAATTAGGCCGGGGGCCGATCTCGAGGTACCCCCCACTCTGGGCCTAAACTACAAACGGAACTGGGGCCTAAACTACAAACGTTTAGGGTTTAGCCGCGGACTCGGGCCTAAACTACAAACGTTTAGGGTTTAGCCGCGGACTCGCGCCTAAACCATAGACGTTTAGCGTTTAGGGTTTAGCGTTTAGGGTTTTGCGTTTAGGGTTTAGGGCCAAATTTCCTGGATTTTGGAGTGGGCGTTTTGGATGACAAATTCTGTTCATAAAATAGCGATTTTAATGAGGCCGGGGGCCAATCTCGAGGTACCCCCCATTCTGGGCCTAAACTACAAACGGAACTGGGGCCTAAACTACAAACGTTTAGGGTTTAGCAGGATTCGGGTTTCGCGTTTAGGGTTTAGCGTCTAGGTGTCTGTCCCCCGTCCGCGCGTCTGTCCCCCGTCCGGCCGCTTTTCCTTGTGAGTGGGCATTTTGGGTGACAAATTCAGTTCATAAAATAGCACTTTTAATTAGGCCGGGGGCCGGATCTCGGGGTCCCCCCCATCCTTGGGGACGCGTCTGTTTCCCGTCCGGACCCCTGTGTCTGTCCCCCGTCCGGCTGCGTCTGTCCCCCGTCCGGCCGCTTTTCCTTTTTTTGAGTGGGCATTTTGGGTGACAAATTCTGTTCATAAAATAGCACTTTTAATAGGCCGGGGCTGGATCTCGGGGTCCCCCCCATCCTTGGGGAAGCGTCTGTCCCCCGTCCGGCTGCGTCTGTCCCCCGTCCGGCCGCTTTTCCTTTTTTTGAATGGGCATTTTGGCTGACAAATTCTATTCATAAAATACAATTTTTAATTAGGCCGGGGGCCGGATCTCGGGGTCCCCCCCGTCCTTGGGAATTCCTTTTTTGAGTGGGCATTTTGGCTAACAAATTCTGTTCATAAAATAGCACCTTTAATTAGGCCGGGGGCCGGATCTCGGGGTCCCCCGACGCGTCTGTCCCCCGTCCGGCCGCTTTTCCTTTTTTGAGTGGGCATTTTGGGTAACAAATTCTGTTCATAAAATACAACTTTTAATTAGGCCGGGGGCCGGATCTCGGGGTCCCCCTCATCCTTGGGGACGCGTCTGTCCCCCGTCCGGCCGCTTTTCGGATTTTTGGGTGGGCGTTTTGGGTGACAAATTCTGTTCATAAAATAACATTTTTAATTAAGCCGCGGGCCGATCTTGGGGTCCCCCCCATTCTGGGCCTAAACTACAAACGGAACTGAGGCCTAAACTACAAACGTTTAGGGTTTAGCCGCGGACTCGGGCCTAAACCATAGACGTTTACGGTTTAGCGTTTAGGGCTTAACGTTTAGGGTTTAGTGCCAAATTTCCCGGATTTTGGGGTGGGCGTTTTGGGTAATAAATTCTGTTCATAAAATAGCACTTTTGATTAAGCCGGGGGCCGATCTTGGGGTCCCCTCCATTCTGGGCCTAAACTACAAACGTGTTTTTTTTGGGGAACATCTCGGCCAGCCCGAATCCCCCCTTGCGCGACGCTCGAAACTTGACCCTCTTCATTGTGTTGGCCATCAAAGCAATTTAACATCAAACCAAGGAATCAAGTAAAAGACTTGTTTCCATAATTGTGCGACTGTTCGTAAAATCAGACTTTAATCAGGCCGGGGGCCGATCTCGGTGTTACCCCCCCCCCCCCATTCTGGGCTTAAACTACAAACGGATCTTTTTGGGAACAGCTCGGCCAGCCGGAATCCCCCCTTGCGCGACGCTCGAAACTTGACCCTCTTTATTGTTTTGGGTTTAGCGTTTAGGGTGTATATACGGTTATGCTGAATGCTTGGCCGTCTTTAATGCTTTGGCCATCAAGCCATAACTCAATCGGGCAACCACCTCTTGTAATTTTGGGCACATGCCAATTACAGACATCGAAGGAGTGTCCAATTCCAATTGACCGTAAACCGACCAATCAAACTGAACTCCACAGCTTTTTTCCCGCTCTGCTTCCGCAACCTGTCTTCTGTACGGGGGCTGGGCCCGCACCGCACAGGCCTCCACCATCAATCGCATCTAGCGGGCACGCAATGCTTTCTTTCAATGCGGCCGAGGAATTGCCAACTTTCGTCCTTTCGCACTCGAGAGATAGCGACGTACGCCGCCCCTCTAACGAACGGAACATCTAGCCAAATCGTGGCATGATCCAAAGTTGCCCCTTGAATTTTGTGCAGAGTGCTGCTGTACCCTAGTCTCAGAGGCAATGCTGTGACCCGTCGCACAGACCCGTCTGCCAGCTCGTAGTCTTGAGTGACGGCATGGACCAGTGCGACTTTGCCGTTGTCCAACAAGACCTGCAGCCCACTGCGGCGCATCTGCTGCACAACTCCACCCATGCCATTGACGAAGCCGTGCTCTTTGTCTTCGTTTTTTGTGATTGTGACACGCATACCGGGGAATATGGGCATTCGGAAAGGTTCTGCATCCATTCTAGTCTGGCCGTGAAAGTTGCGATGGTTCTCTTCCGGATCGGCAGGCACATAACCCAGCAATTGGGTCTCGTCGAAAAGCGCTTCGATCGCCAGCTGGTTCAAGTGAGCCGAAGCTCGTCGGGAAATGGTGACAAACTGAGTTGTGGGAGTCCTTTGCAGGATTTTCGCCACATTATCTGCCGTTGGCATGTTGTCCGAGCCACAAGCACTATGTTTCTTCAGGATCTTGCGAAGTTGCCGACCGGAGGGTGTGGCGCTGCGGAGTAACTCCAGCTTCCAGCGAAGCTGACTGCATTTGCAGCGTCTCATTGTGCGAAGATATACTTTGCCCACCTCCGGCCACCGTGCACTCTGCTGAGCCGTCGTTCCGTCAGGCCCCGTCAACTGGCAGAAGTCACCAACCAACACCAGTGCAGGACGACGGTCAGCAGCGTCCCACAATCGCAGGATACGTTCGAAAATCCACAAAGGGACCTGCCCAATCTCGTCGATCACCACCAAGTCGTATATGTTCATCATTTCGAGCGTGGTGACTTCGTCCTTGTGCAGCGCGAACATGCCGTGGATAGTGTCCACATCCAGGTCCGGGTTGTCGATCCTGTACTTGGATGCCAGAAGCCCCGTAGGGCAGGCAACACCCACGTGCGCCCCGGCTTCCACCGCTCGGCGGATGGCTACTTGCACGGCTGTGCTCTTGCCACTTCCGGCGGGGCCGAGGATGGCTGTGACACGCTCCCCTGCAGATTGTCTGTCCACCTGCAGGTATTGCCACCAAGAAGCTTGATTGTTGTCTTCCGGCCACCTGCATGCGAGCGATGTGTCGACTCTCTCAGCGATGACGCGTGCTGCTAGCTGCTGCTCTGGTGCCAACCTATCGAAGTCGGGCAGCACGGCGGTCACGCCTGCCGCCTCGGATCTTGGCAGTCGCGCCGGAGCAGGGACTTCTCCTGCAAAGTATGCGTCGATGAGCTCCGTTCTGGCCCGTATCACCTCCAGCGCGTTGGTGATGTACAAGTCGGTCCTGGCCTCCAGCTGCAGTTCGCTTGCGATGCGACGCGGGTTTCGCCAAAAGTCCGGTCGGCGTAGAAGGCAGAGGCCAAGGAAGCGAAGCTCCTGTGGAAGGCAGGTAGCTCGGTCGTCCCAGAGGTCGGCTACGTCTCGGAAAGGTACGTGCAACAGTAGCCACTGTCCGAAATGGAAGTCACTGTAGCAGGAGTACATGATGCAGGCGACCAGAACTTCTCCTTCCGCTGTAAGAGTGTTGATCCAGTGCGTCAGCGGCATTTCGACCTTGCGAGCCTTGTGTAGCCGCCGGTAGCGCTGGGCAATTTGTCCACCCGAGCCGGACACCCGTAGGTATTCGATGAGACTCATGCTTCTTCGTCGCCAGGAGCAATCCATATAATTCCGAACCTCCTGCGGCATCTCCTTGTTCCAGGGCACCGGCACCACGAACTTGCGGACGACCGCCGGGCACAGGAATTGAGGGTGCTGCTGTGCTGCTAGCTGCATGACCATTTCAGGTTGCAGTGGGTGATAGTCGGACAGGATGCGCCTCGCCAGAGCGAAGCCACTGGCTTGATCGTTGAGCAATTCCTGCGCGAAGGAGCTGGAAAACTTCGGAAGGTAACCTTGCGGCAAGGCAGTGCGTTTCATTACGAGTCTATCATGCAGGCTGACTGCGTGCGTCCGAGGGGCTTGCGCAATACTTCAGGATCATTGCTCGGCCGTCAGACGCAACCACGTCCGTGTGGCAGTGCAAGGCGGCGAGCACGTCTGTGAGATAGGCTCGACAGTGCTGGTCGTGAGCATCTTGCGGATGTCGAAGTTCCAGCAACCCCGAGCTTTCGGATACCTTGGTGGGTTCCCTGCGAACGGGCCAGCCACTGCTCGTCCAATCCAACTGCGAGCCACGCACCAGATCTCGCAACTCCGGCTCCGACTCATCGGGAAGATCCGCCCGGATGTTTTCGGAGAGGCTCATGGATGCCATGTTTTCCAGCCAGAGCAGTATGTGCACGTGCACGGTTCCTCGACCATGATAGGCTTGGGGCTCCTTGAACTGTCCTCGCTTCCTCTTCCCGTCCTGGAATTCCAGTCGTGCCACCCACTTCCGTACACCTTTGCAGGAGCCCGCAGAAAAGATATGCTCTTGTCCCTCTCCCTGCAAACCTTCATTGCTGCCCGTGAGAAGGCCCTTCACTGCTTGTGTGAGGACGTGTGCAATATGGAGGGTCTCGGCCACCGGCAGGTGCAGGCGTGCTTTCAAAGCCTTAACCAGCTCGTCCTCGTGCCAGACATGGTAAGGGAAGCTCCACTCGTAGGGCGCCATGGTGATGAACAGCTGCGGCCAGCCAAGCTGTCGCTGCAGGTCCACCAAGGCGGCATGGTAGCCTCGCCACAGTTCTGGCGAATATGGTTTGGACGCCAGGGCCTCCCTGATGCTGCTGCTAGTCGAGCTCCGCGCTGCCCCAACAGTAGTGAAGAGCCACAAATCGTAAACGAACTGCAGCAAGGTGGGGTCGCCGTTGTAGCCAATGACACAGGAATGGGCTTTGGCCAAGAAGCTGGCTTTTGCACTCTGGCGCCCGCGCCCGGTCTCGTCCGCTTCATCTGAACCGGAACTTTCCCAAGCATCATTACGGTGTCGGCGCTTTCTTCTTCGAACATCCATTGAGCGCGTGTGGGTTTCCGTCATGTCTGTTTGCCAGTACAGGTGTGGCCACAGGCTGCATTCTAGACCCACGGTCTCAATAAAATTCACTGGCAACCGCTTGACGGGAGCCCCAGGCCCGATGTCCCCTCTCCTGATCTGCCGCTTGCGTTTTGCGAGAAACCTATGATGCAACTGCCAGAAGCGGTCGTACGACGACAGATCCGATTTCAGCAGGTACTCCAATGCCTTCTCGCCCTTCTCGCGAGCTTTCCGGGGTAGCCGCGCCAGGGCTTCTTCCACAGACTCCGTCTTGAAGGAGAAGCGAAGCATGTCCATGTGCACGTCGTATCCATTTGGCGCGCGACACTCGCCGCCCTTGTGAATCTGAAAGGGCCGCAGGGCCTCGATGACCTTTGGGGGCAAGTTCCGAAGTCTGTGGGGCACGTCGTCCTTGTTGGGAGCCCAGTATCCTTGGGCGCCATCGGATCGGCAGAACTGGCACTGGGGCAAGGTGTTCTCCGTTCGGTTGGTGCCACGGGCATGTTGCGGCTTGTAAGGTTGAGGCACCATGCGGCCGCAACATTTGCACATTCTCCAGGACGACGAGGTGCACCAAGTCCTGAATGCGCGAGCTCTGCGCGTCATCCAAGCTTGTTCCGGACGGGTTTTCGGTCCGTATACGGCCGGAAACTTCTTGGCGAGGCGACGGAGCCTTTCACGTTCGGCGTGCAGGTGTCGCAGTGCTTCTTCCGGAGCCGAGCTGCTCTGCCTATACTTCAACAACTCAGCCCAGCGGGGCCTGGCAGTGGCTTGTTTGCCTCTCCGCTTGGCATTGGACCCTGCAGGTGCTGGATTGAGGGGGATCCAGACCTGACAGCCCGCGGGGTGCGAGTATGGCACGGGCTCATCATATGCGACGACATCTTCCAGGATCCAGGCATGCGGTTTGGAGTACGGGATCTCTGTGAGATCTGCGATGAGATGCAGATGCTTTGATGCCTCCAAGTCTTCCACCGTAACAGCCCTAGACTCCTTCACAGTGGCCTCTCCGACCAGCTCGCCGCTGCCGACTTGTGCAATGCCAACTCGCTTGCCGAGATGCTTTCGACAGGGCGTGCCTCGGATCTCCCATGTCTTGCCTTCGTATAGGATCTTATTGCACCATTCCGGCCTGATCGACAGAGCCCAACTCAAGGCCGCTTGCCTCCTCACAGAGTCATCGTTCTCCGCATTGATATGAGTATCCACTTCTTCTGGCACTTGCAACGCACGTTCGTCGGAGAGCAGCTGGTCGACGGCAGCCTTGGTATGCTCATTGAGAAGGTGCATCTGCTCCACAACTTCGTCCATGCCCAGCGTCTCCTGGATTTCGTGCAAGCACCCGTGGAATCTCTCCGGCTCTGTCTCCGACATTGTGGCCAGCCGTGCCGTCAGCTCTCTCTGCCCAGCATCGAGATCACCATCGTCCTCTCGACTTGGCCTCCGCAGAAAGCTAGTAACTAGCAGTAGCACTCTTCAACCCGATTATTGAAGGACTGTGCCAAACCCTCGCCGGGGTCGCGGCCGCTCGCCGAGGACATCGGGTATTCCCCTCGAGCTTTTGCACCGATTAAATAGCCTCCCCGACCCTATCCGCGAAAGGACTGAGCGCGAGGCCAAGCATCCGGCGATTCGCTCTGCCACCTTCACGTGCTTCTTGATACCAGGATTGCTGGCTACTCACCTGCACTCCCGCCTCCATGATGCATCTTCCCCCTCTTCCCCGGGTGACGACGGCACGCCGGACCGAGAATTCTCGCCACACCTGAAGCTCGCGACTAGATCTGAGTGTTGCTAGACACCGACTTCGAGTTGAGCTCCCGGCGTGATTCCCTCCATGAGTTCACCTTCAAGAGGCAGAATGACAAGACTTCCTATGTGTCCAGTAACGTGCGCACGATTGAGCTGTCGACGATCTTGCGATGGCTGGCCACGGGCAGATACGAATTTGGCGCAATCTGTTTCTACAGAGTCTTGATTGAATCTTGAATCTTAAACAGCTTCGTCTGCACCTCCAAGCATGAGCTTTCAACTCCTGTTCCACACGCATCGGGCTTACTCTCCATGTCTGCTCATTATTGCTTCCATCTGAACTTAGCAGTGGCTTATAGTATGGCTCAAACTACTAAGCAAAACCCTAACTGCAGAAACTGCGTTTGCACTGCTGGACAGCTCGTGTTGTTGCTGAAGTGGTAGAGCATCACAACGGCATATTAATAAGAAAAAAAAACTGCCTGCGGCCGCCCAGTCTGTCCCCGCCGGGGCGCGTCTGTCCCCTATCTTGCTTTGCTTTTCCTCCTAGGGAAGAAACCCTGCTTGCCGCCGGCCTTTCCTGGGGGACGCGTCTGTCCCCTGTCTTGCCTCCTTCGTCTACTTATGAAAAACCTACCTGCGGCCGCCCAGTCTGTCCCCGCGAGGACGCGTCTGTCCCCCGTCTTGCTGCCTTCGTGTCCGTTTTAATAAGAAAGGAACCTACCTGCGACCGGTCCTCCTGTGTGCGGGGACGCGTGTGTCCCCTGTTTGCTTCTCTCCTTCTCTTACGAATAATAAAAGAAACCCTGCCTGCGGCCGGCCTGTCTGTCCGCGGGGACGCGTCTGTCCCCTGTCTTGCTTTGCTTTTCCTCGGATTAACAAGAAGAAGCCCTGCTTGCCGCCGGCCTTTCCTGGGGGACGCGTCTGTCCCCTGTCTTGCCTCCTTCGTCTACTTATGAAAGACCTACCTGCGGCCGCCCAGTCTGTCCCTGCGAGGACGCGTCTGTCCCCCGTCTTGCTGCCTTCGTGTTCGTTTCAAAAAAAAAGGGACCCACCTGCGACCTGCCCTCCTGTATGCGGGGACACGTCTGTCCCCTGTCTTGCCTTTTTCGTTCTCTTGTTAATAAGAAGAAACCCTGCCTGCGGTCGGCCTGTGTATCCGTGGGGACGCATCTGTCCGCTGTCCTGCTTGCTTTTCCTCCTATTAACAAGAAGAAACCCTGCTTGCCGCCGGCCTTTCCTGGGGGACGCGACTGCCTCCTGTCTTGCCTCCTTCGTCTACCTATAAAAGACCTACCTGCGGCCGCCAAGTCGGTCTCCGCGAGGACGCGTCTGTCCCCCGTCTTGCTGCCTTCGTGTTCGTAAAAAGGAAAAGGAACCTACCTGCGACCAGCCCTCCTGCGTGCGGGGACGCGTCTGTCCCTTGTCTTGCTTCTCTCCTTTTCTTACTAACAATAAAAAAAATCCTGCCTGCGGCCGGCCTGTCTTTCCGTGGGGACGCGTCTGTCCCCTGATATTAACAAGAAGAAGCCCTGCTTGCCGCCGGCCTTTCCTGGGGACGCGTCTGTCCCCTGTCTTGCCTCCTTCGTCTACCTATAAAAAACCTAGTTGCGGCCACCCAGTCTGTCCCCGCCGGGACGCGTCTGTCCCCCGTCTTGCTGCCTTCGTAGTATTACTTATTTTAAAAAGGAATCTACCTGCGACCTGCCCTCCTGTGTGCGGGGACACGTCTGTCCCCTGTCTTGCCTTTTTCGTTCTTATTAGTAAGAAGAAACCCTTGCCTGCGGCCGGCCTAACTATCCATGGGGACGCGTCTGTCCCGTATCTTGCTTTGCGTTTCCTCCTATTAGCAAGAAGAAACCCTGCCTGCCGCCGGCCTTTCCTAGGGGACGCGTCTGTCCCCTGTCTTGCCTCCTTCGTCTACTTATAAAAGACCTACCTGCGGCCGCCCAGTCTGTCCCCCGAGGACGCGTCTGTCCCCCGTCTTGCTGCCTTCGTGTTCGTTTTAATAAGAAAGGAACCTACCTGCGGGGACGCGTGTGTCCCCTGTCTTGCTTCTCTCCTTTTCTTAATAATAATAAAAGAAATCCTGCCTGTGGCCGGCCGGTCTATCCGTGGGGACGCGTCTGTCCCCTGTCATGCTTTGTTTTTCCTCCTATTAACAAGAAGAAGCGTCTATCCCCTGTCTTGCCTCCTTCGTCTACGTATAAAAGTTCTTATTAATAAGAAAGGAACCTACCTGCGACCGGGCTCCTGGGTGCGGGGATGCGTCTATCCCCGGTCTTGCTTTTTTTCGTTCTTATTAATAAGAAGAAAGCCTGCCTGCGGCCGGCCTGTCTATCCATGGGGACGCGACTGCCCCTATCTTGCCCTTTCGTCCTCCTATTACAAGAAAAGACTGCCTACGGCCGGTTCCTCCTGGGGGGACGCGTCCGTCCCCTGTCTTGCTTCTTTCCTCTTCTTATAAAGAACCACCTACGGCCGCCCGGTCTGTCAGCGGGGATGCGTCCGTCCCCTGTCTTGCTTCCCTTAGCTTCTTGTTAAAAAAGAAAGGAATGTATCTCCGACTACCTGTCCCACCTACGTTATATAACAAAACAATGAGAAGTTTGGAAAATACATTTTAGGAAGGCCACCAACCTCTCGTCACCCCTTGGCCGTATCAAAGCATTCATCGCGCAAAAAGCAATGTATCAGAAAAAAAAGTTTAGGATCCTAAACCCTAAAAGGCGGAGCTGGCTAAGGGTGGGAGCCGCACTCGACGGCGCGGGTGGGAAAATTATGAGATGATGCGGCCGAAACGAGGCCCCATTATCGATGGCTTCTAGCGTGCTCCGGAACCGAAGCAAAACTTCTTTAACTTGTAAGCACATCTGGCGAAATACGATGTCTGTGATCTGTCGCAAACCCTAAACCCTAAACCCTAAACCCCACTAAACCATAAACCCTACTAAACCATAAACCCTACTAAACCCTAAACCCCAAACCTGTGGAGGTGGGTGGTTTCAGGCTTGAGGATCCTGAGGCCCAAGGATTACTTGGAGGATCATGGGACGCAGTAAGGCTCCTTTAAGGGCTCCTTAAAGGGATCTATAGGGTTCCTTAGAGGGATCTATAGGGTTCCTTAAAGGGCTCCCTCCTTAAAGGGATCTACAGGGCTCCTTAAAGGGATCTATAAGGTTCCTTAGAGGGATCTATAGGGTTCCTTAAAGGGATCTATAGGGTGTAGGGTTTAGGGCCTACTTGGAGGATCTGGTTATAAGTGCCTTAAATGGGGTTATAGGTAGTTATAAGTATAGTTGCCCTGATAATAACCTTAGTTACTAAGTCCCATGATCCTTTAAGCATTTGTTGGAAGCCCATGGGCGGGCTTGCTTTCACGACGGGTACTGGGTAGATCAAGGTGGGGCCCTGAGCATGGCACTCATGGACACAACTATACTATGTAATGCCGATGAGGGCAGAGTGAAAGCTGCTAGCGGGTCAGGGTGCAGGGTATAACTTACCCATCAAAGTCCAACTTAGAGCAGCCTGCGCGATTCGGGACTGGGAGTAAGTGGGTCTAGCAACTGCGGCCTGCAGATGGCGGAAAGTCCCCTTAAGATCTACAAGGGTTCCTTTAAGAGTTCCGTTTAAAGGGATCTATAGGGTTTAAAGTACCCAGAGACTCCAATGTCCCTTCATAAAGGAATATACCTTCAATTATAATTAGATTCCCAATAATGTGATTTAAGGAATATTCCTTAACTAAGTTGGAATGCCTTATACCCTAAAACCTATAGATCCCTTATGGATCCCGTAAAGGAACCCTAGGTATTCCTGAATTTTGGGATGTTGGAGTCCCATGAGTATGTCTTAAGTAAGGGCCCCAAATTATGCGGCGTAGGGGTTTGGGGTTTAGGGTTTGAGGTTTGGTTTGAGGCTTAGTCTAGGGTTTACAGGATTAGGGGTTCAGGGCTTTGGGTTTAGGGTTAGCGGTTTAGTTTAGCGCTTAAGGTTTAGGGCACCCCTAAACCCCTAACACACTCAACCCCAGACCCGGAACCCGTGAACCTTGAAGCAACACCGATAACACTCTCCCTTCTAGTACTCTTCAACATGGTATCCCTGGTCCTAAACCCTAAACCCTAACACCCTAACACCCTAACACCCTAAACCCTAAATCTCTAAACCCTAAAACCTAAATCCCTAAACCCTAAAACCCTAAAACCCTAAAACCCTGAACCCAAAATCCCTAAACCCTGAACCCTAAACCCTAAAAACCCTAAACCTGACTGCGCGGATCAAAGCTCAGGGGGCACCCCAGGGAGTGGGGGCTCCAGTTGTCCCGAGCACCTGAGGCTTGTCGTTTGAGGTATAGGGGGCTTAGGGTTAAGGATTTATAAAGTTTTAAGTTTATAGGCTTAGAGGGCTTAGAGAATAAAAGATGCGGGGCTGCCACACCCCCCCTCCCCCCTGTGGTGGTACTCTTTTTGCCGCGACGTTCTTATGTGTTACTCCTTGTCTTCCCTCTTGCTGTGGCATCGGTGATACTGCTCATGATGTTGTGATGCTCTAGACCGGGACACGAATCGACAATCAGACCATGCTCAACATCATCCTTGTCGTCATCATCTTCATCATTAACACCTTCAAAAGAATATCTGCCACCATCACCATCGCCATACAACCCTCATAATTCAGCATCGCAACTCATGTCAGATGCTGGAAACTACTGCGCCGATTGCCGCTTTCCGCACACGGCAAGGCATAGCGCGACACTCGATCCGCGCACAAGGTCAAGGGGAGG